CTGTAGCATGTAGTCATACACTGCGAGGGCTGACACACGCTCTGCGTTGCGATGGCTTGATGTGCTCCTTTTCGGCGGATCGGTACGGAGCAAGTGAAATTCAAACGGCGCAAAGCAACGCACATCAAACACACTGCAATGCGAATCAGAGCAACGCAATGCAAGACAATGCAGTGCAAGATAAGCAAGACACCTTTCATGTAAAGCGAAGCATGGTGCAATGACACACATGGTAAATCAAGGAACGCATTGCATTGCAGTGCAGAAACGTACAGCTCAAAACAATGCTATCAATGCAGAGGGCGGCAGAACAAAGGAGAGAAACTCGAAGCATCACGAATAACACAACGCAGTGCAAAGTATCGACACCTAGAGCGAGGCAAAACACTTCCAAACGAATAAAGACGCAACCAAGCAAATGCAATGATCCTGTCGAAGGACCCAATGCAGTTGTGAGTACCGTCGTTGCGGGCATCGCCTTTGGGGGATCTCCTCATGGGGCCATGAAGCACGCGAAGGGTGTGCCAACATTGGGCGGGGCCGCCCAATGGGCACTGCCACTGGGGCTTCAGGCGGAACCCACATGGGGCCACGACCCGTGTGAGAGGTGCGCCGCAATGCAGCGGGGCCGCCTCTGGGGCCTCCGGCGGAGCTCCCCACGGGGCCACGAAGCGATGCGAACACCGCCACTGGGGCCTTCGGCGGAGCTCCCATAGATGGGGCCACGACGCGCTGCACCGGGCGGAGGCAGCGCGAGCGGGCACCGCCACTGTGGGCCTCAGGTGGAGCTCCCTGTGGGGCCACGAAACGCTGCACTGGGCGGGGGGAACGCATATGCGAAGGCCGCCACTGGGCCCCTCCCCAGGCCCGGAAGGCTCCCAGTGGGGCCCCAAGAGAAGCCCGAGAGAGCCTCAAGAGAGTCCAAGAAGGCCTCCAAGAAGCCTCCGAGAGGCTCCCGGCAGGACCCTACACTGCCCATTGTGGAGGCCCCTCGGGCCGATCTCAGCTCCGGCTTGACGGATGATCTGAGCTCCTCTTCTTTCCTGACCACGAAAACTCATCTAGAAATCGTTTCTGGATGGGCTGGAGAGGATACAAGCAGCGTCAAACATTTCAAGGGAACGCGTGGCATCCCAAAGTATGGCAAAGCAAAACAGTTTCAGGCGAATCGAATGATGCAGTGCAGGGCAATCGTAGGAAAACGAAGCAAGGCTAAGCACGTCAAAGCGAAGACATGCAAACAATGCAAGGACATGCAAGCCAGTGCAAAGGAATTCGAACATCTGCTATGTACGCAGTCCAACTACCGGTCCCTTTGGAGGGCCAACAGGATGCGAAGCGGAGGTGCAGCACATCCTTCCCAATGTTACAATGATAAATAATGGATTCCGAGCTCCAACAATGTAATTATTGAAATCCGCGCCAGAGGTCAGACCGAAAAAACATCTCATTCCCCTACCAGAACGGGGTTTTCAGAACTTCTTACGGTGCCCTGGAAAACCTGAAAACACAACATATTCGCGTTCCCGAGGCCACAATCCCTAGTAAATCAAACGGGTTCGCGCTCCCGAGGCCACAACCCCACGTTAAGTACGACGCTGTTGCAAGGAACGCTGAATAAGGACCGAAGAGCTTTTCTGGCCACGGCGAGCCTTGACCACGAATAGCTCCCCCGACCTCGATCGATGGAACGGCCTGAGAGCCCCTCCTGACCCCAAAGTGTTCCTTTTTTCAGCATATTGGCTGCAATCGCCTACGATACATGCTGCGTAATATCGAAGCGTACAAAAGACTACTACCGGTTAGGATTCTGGTAGGCATCCAGCCTCGCACAGGGGAAAAACTGTCCAGCATGGGAGCTCGGCGCCTGCTGCTCTGCCTGGGCAAAGGAATGCGCCTGGTCCGACCCTTGGGGAAGACACGCCCTAACCCAACGCCCCGAGTGAGTGTTCGCGTCCGACGCTTCCCTTGCGAATGGCACCCAGTGACCACGACGACCAAGCGACTAAAACGTCTCCAGCCCTCGATTCGAGAAGAAACCGTGCGGGGGCGGGTAGACACAATGATGCCTGAGCACCTCAGCCCTCGCGTACGGAAGAAACAAAACGGGGGCGGGTACGTACACTCATGCCTGAGCTTCTGGGAGCACCACGGGTGTGGCGACGTGGAAAACAAAAAGAAGGGAGCGCGCCGCCTCCTCGTACGCTTCGAGCAGCCTTAGGAGCACGACCCGATCCAGACCGAGCCACCGTCCGATCTCGACCTCGGCCTGGCCAGGCCGGCACGTCCCCAGACGAGTGGCGCTCCATCGAGCGAAAAAAACGATCGATCGCCCCAAACCGGATCGATCGGCTGGCAGCTATGCGCGACCTGATCCACCCCCTCTTGTCTGCCGACGGGAGGAGCGAGCGACAGGTCTGTCGGAGTGGCGGCCTGAGCTCCCGGCCCGCCCGCTGCCCCGCGCGAGGTCACGGAGAGAGGGAGGGGGAGGGGAGGAGGTGGGGGCGGAGGGAGTGAAGTCCAGAGCCGGGACCAGTGCATGCCCACCGCCTCGGGAACCGATGCCCCGGGACCCCAGGAGGCAGTGGAGCCGGCAGTCCTGGACATCCCCCAGGGGACCAGAAGCGTCCGCATCCACTGCGGATCCTGGCTGGGATCCGGGAACGTCAGCCCTGCCGGGGATCTGCTGACCAGGGACTATCCAAACCCGGGTCAACCGGGCCCTGCAGGATCCCGCAGGCTATCCCGCAGGCGATCCCGCAGCTTGTCCTGCAGGCGAGCCCGCAGGATCCCGCAGCCTAGCCTGCACCCAAGGCCCCGGTCAGAGCGGCTCTGGGTCTGCGGGCTCCTGCAAGGATGCCAGCGCTCTGGCTGCCTCCCCGTTTGCATTGGCCCCGGTCTCTTCTCTCGAGCCCCCGAGGGCTGCGGGCAGTGCACACAGATCCCGGCGCGCTCGCTGCGGGGGACCTGCATGGGCGGTGGAAGCCCCGGAATACAGCGAGCACATGCCACAAGAAGCCTGGATCTGAGAAATCTGGGAGGAGGAGGGGGAGGAGGAGGAGGAGAAAAAAGGAATAGGGGGAAAGGAGGAGATGAAGGCGGTGGAGGAGGAGAAGAAGGGAGGAGGAGGAGTAAGGAGGAGGAGGGGGGTAGGAGATGAGGAGGAAGGAGGAGAGAGGAGGAGGGTAGGAGAGGGAGAGGAGGGGGGGAGGGGAGGAAGGAGGAAAAAGGAGAGGAGGAGTCAGGAGGAGGGAGGAGGAGGAGAGGAGGAGGAGGAGGAGAGAGGAGGAGGAGGAGGAAGAGGAGGAGGAGGGAGGAGGAGAGGAGGGAGGAGGAGGAGGAGAGAGAGGAGGAGGAGGAGGAGGAGGAGGAGGAGAGGCACATCTCCTTCGTCGACCTTGAGCTTCGCAGGGTGCCACCAGGGGTCTCTGGGCCCAACGGAGGATCGGGTCGTTGTTTGACGGTCCCGAGGCCCGGCGAGGGCCCCTAGAGGCCGAAATTTGAGGACAACCTCCGTCGTGATTTCTTCAATGCGTTGGACCTCTGGGGTTCCAACACCCTCGTGGGCCCGCGGTGGCAATTTGGGGGCCGCTCGGGGCCCCTTCGGGGCCTCCGTCCCGCCATCCCCAGACCCCCGACGTCGCGATTGTTTCGCAAAGTCGACCCCCAAAAGTCTGGACCCCTTCCCCAAGAACGGTTTTTCATCCTGGGTCGTTGTTTGACGGTCCCGAGGCCTGGCGAGGGCCCCTAGAGGCCGAAATTGGAGGAAAACCTCCGTCGTGATTTCTTCAATGCGTTGGATCTCTGGGGTTCCAACACCCTCGTGGGCCCGCGGTGGCAATTTGGGGGCCGCTCGGGGCCCCTTCGGGGCCTCCGTCCCGCCATCCCCAGACCCCCGACGTCGCGATTGTTTCGCAAAGTCGACCCCCAAAGGTCTGGACCCCTTCCCTAGAGGCCTCCTAGATGGGGTCGGAGTAGATGTGGTCGGAGGATCGCGCTGCATCGCCGATACATCGGCGATACATCGGCGATGCATCGGCGATGCGCCGGCGATGCATCGACGACGTCAGTGATTCATCGGCGACGTCGGTGCGGGGAAACACGGGCTCCACATCGAGCCGCATCGCCGATGTATCGGCGATGCGGCTCGATCCTTCGACCCCATCTACTCGGACCCCATCTAGGAGGCCTAGATTCCCCAGGACGGGTTTTTCATCCTGGGTCGTTGTTTGACGGTCCCGAGGCCCGGCGAGGGCCCCTAGAGGCCGAAATTTGAGGACAACCTCCGTCGTGATTTCTTCAATGCGTTGGACCTCTGGGGTTCCAACACCCTCGTGGGCCCGCGGTGGCAATTTGGGGGCCGCTCGGGGCCCCTTCGGGGCCTCCGTCCCGCCATCCCCAGACCCCCGACGTCGCGATTGTTTCGCAAAGTCGACCCCCAAAGGTCTGGACCCCTTCCCCAGGACCGGTTTTTCATCCTGGGTCGTTGTTTGACGGTCCCGAGGCCCGGCGAGGGCCCCTAGAGGCCGAAATTTGAGGAAAACCTCCCGTCGTGATTTTTTCCTCGGCCCCCCCTGCGGTTGAGTGCCCCCCGCCACCCCCGCGCCCACATGGAGGAGAGGGGAGCACCCCGTCGACGGGCCCAGCGTCTTCTGGGCCGCCGCTCGCTGGGGAGGGGGGGCGGGGAGGGGGATCGAGGATCGAGGAGGATTGAGAGCACCGAGGGGGATCGAGGATCGAGGAGGATCGGGGGGGATCGAGGGGGATCGAGGAGGATCAAAGATCGAGGAGGATTGAGAGCATCGAGGATCGAGGACCAGGAGGGTCGAGGATCCTAGAGGAGGAGGAGGAGGAGGAGGAGGAGGAGGAGGAGGAGAGGCGTGGTGAGAGGAGAGGAGGAGTAGGAGGGACCAGAGATCGAGTGAAGGAGGAGGATGAGGAATTCGAGACGATAATCCGAGATTAGGAGGCTCGAAAGGGGATCAACCCATGATGAGGCA